GATGTTCCTGCTCCAGCACGGAGTAGGCAAGCAGGTGTGTGTGTGTGTGTGTGTGTGTGTGTGTGTGTGTGTGTGTGTTGCCTACAATGGAGTCAAGCTCTCCTTGAGTTTCAACTGGAGAAAAAGCCCTGGCACCAACCCAGATCAGGAAACACTTGTACGCACCATCCAGAAGACGAATAGAGGTTCAGACAGGGTTCTCTTGGGAGAATCATGGTTAAGATCAGACGGGAAGCCCCTTCCCATCAACTCCTAGCACAGGTTCTGCCCGGATGCTTCCAGGGCCAAGAGGCACTTTCCCTTGGCAAGGCTGACCAAAGGCTGGTGAGTTGCAGTGGCTGGTGGTCCCATGTTTAGCACTAGTGGCTGGAAGGCCAGGGAGGTTCCAGGGGGGTGGGGAGGAGAGTGTTTTGTTTCACAGGCACAGCCGGACATCCGGACTTAGGACTGGCCTCTTGGCTTCTATGTGTGGGTGACTCTGGATCCAATCTAGAAGCCGCTTTGGAATGACTTCCTATGTTGCTCCAACACAACAAGGCCAAATGCCCGAACTTGAGGTAGGCAAGCAGATCAAGAAATCCTGAAGTCCATCTTCTATGGCTAAACTGCAGTACAATAGGCTTTTAGCCTATCATGGCTTAATTTTGGCTTAATGTGAACCCAGCCACTAGCTGGTGGGGCAAACCAGGATTAACCTGTCCTCTTGGCTCAATGCAGTGCATGAACCCGGCTGGTGCCTCCCACCCACCGGCCCCCTCAGAGGTTCATGCAGCAGGACTTCTTCCCCTCCGCAGCCGCCGAGGTGGACGCCGCGGTGTCACTTTCGGTGGAGAGCGAGACTCTGTTGTCCAGGGGGCTCTTCTGCTTCTGCTTCTGCACTTTATTGAAAATGTCTAGAAACAGGAAAATAAAATAAAATAAAAAGCGTTTCCCTTCTTCTCCATCTGCAGGGAAGAGACACCACCAATCTTACATATTGTGTCCCATATTGTATTAAATATCATATAATAAATACAATTTAGAATACAAACGATATGCTACAGTATGATTTGATATGATGTATAATAATACAATAAATTCTGGGAGTCAAAGTCCACACAGCTGAAAGTTGCCGACGCTGAGAAACTGGTTCAGAGGATCCGCAAGTCCTAAACCTTCAGAGGGGCCTTTGCAGACGGGAGGGATGATCAGAGGAAGAATAAGAGCCTCTGGGACGAGGGCTCCTCTTTTCCCTTTCCTTTGCTCCCTGCTGATGGTTTGGACTCAGCTGTGAATCTAATGTTTCCTGGACTGTCGAGCGAACGCTTCTCTGACTGGAGGGGCATATAAGAAACAATCAGACAAACATCTAACCCCCTTGAGCAGCCTTGGAACAGGCCTGGCAATTGAACCCTGGCACGCTGGGGGGGCTGGAAGCTGCTCTGCGGTTGAAGCTGTGGACAGTCTTTGACTCAACCTGACTCTGATCCAGAAGAAGTCCAGATACCTCCAAGGTCTGTTGAACAGCTGACCCCGTTTGTCTCAGCTGAGGCAGCTGGGAACAGACGCCTGCTGTGGACCAAAACTAAGGAACATCTTGAATTCTCAAACTGGTGAATTTAGGAAAGATTCACTATAGAAACCCCCTCCCCAAAGAAAATGGCAGTTACACTATCTACTGCTTCTTGCTGGATAATCCGGTAGAAGTCTACCCAGCTCCATCTTCTTCCTTCTGGCCCCAAATAAGTAAGTGGTTAAAGGCTTCCCTGTGTGGTGGAAAGCAAACTGGTCGTCCGCAGGAACCCCTCCTGCCCCAGACCCCCCCCACCACCACCTACCTCTCAAGATGGTCTCGAAAGCCAGTTCCACGTTGGTGGAGTCCAAGGCAGAGGTCTCCACAAAGAGCAGCCCGTTGTTTTCTGTGGCAAGGAAGACAGAAAAAAAACCTTCAATGGCCAAGGAAGGAGAGGAGTTTAGCTGGGAAAAGGTGTGAAAAAGCCACCGAAACGAAATGCCTTCTATTTGCAGGAAGACGCTCCGAGGGGAACCGGCTCCTTCTTCAGGGAGCAGCCGCCCTCTTAGAGGAGACACGCTGGGCTCAAAGATAATGAGGATGGTGCCGCAGTGCCCACGTCTCCTTTAAAAAAAGGATTTGCCCGCTCTTTCCTTTGGGCCTGTTTTGTTTTTTCTCTTCCTTAGATGCCCATTTTAATGTGTTTGATTAAGACCATTAAATCGGGGTGAATAAATTGCTGGGCACACCACTTCCTTCCTCTTGCAGGTTCTAGCTGAAAACCCACGTCAACTAATTACCTCCAAACTACTTTGGACTGCAGATCCCATCAACGTGAACTGCCGGGGCTGATGGGGATTGTCATCCAAACAGCTAAAGGCCTGGGGCAGCCGGTCTGGTTTTTCATCCAGGGCGAAAGCCACGGGCCACATCCTACCTTGAGCTCAGTGCTGCACCTCTGGGGGAAGGGCAGCCGGCCCTTCTTACCTGCATACATCCTGGCCTCTTCTGTGGGCACCTCCCGGGCTTGGGCCAGATCCGTCTTGTTGCCCACCAGCATCACAACGATGGTGGCCTCCGCGTGGTCATACAGCTCCTTCAGCCAGCGCTCCACCACGTCGTACGTCTGATGCTTGGTGATGTCGAACACCAAGAGCGCCCCCACGGCTCCGCGATAGTATCTGTGGCGGAGAATGTGGAGGGAAAAGTGGGGCCGGGGGGGAGCAAGAAGGGAAGAGGGAAAACTTTGCCACGGTGACAATCCCTCTGCTGGGAAGCTCGTCCCTGATGGCGCTCATCATCCTGAGCTTCTGCTTCTGATTCTGTTTGGTGCCTCCAGCAACTGACCGCTCCCCAGGCCAGGCCCCGAGGGGGACGTGCTGGCCAAGGTGATGGGATGGGTGGTTGGGGGCCCTTCTTTAGCTTTCCTCGGAGGGAGCTGAGTCTCCTCCAGTGTTGCCAAGAAGGCAGCCAAGGGTTTGTGGACAGCCCTGAGGACGCCCACCGTTTCCATGCATTCCTGCTGTCCCAAATGCAGAAGAGGAACCGAGGGAGAGCTGCCTTGTCTTACCAGGCTCTTCCCGTTCAGCTCAGGCCCAGAAGAAGAGAGGCACCTTTGCTACCGATAAAGGAGAATCTTTGGAGCCCAGAGTTCCACTGCGGGGTCCTTGGTGCCCAATGAACGTGGTTGTTTCATTCCAGCCGTTTCATCACCCAACTGGGTTACACCATCAGTGCTAGATAACACCGATGATACTATCCAGTTGGGTAATGAAACATCTGCAAGAAAACAACCAAACTCCCCACAGCTGTCTTTCTCCTCCACGCTGCAAAGCCTACTCTCCCCTAGCACTGATGAGGTTACCTAGATGGGTAGTGAAATGTCTGCAAGAAAACAAACTCAGAGCGCGCCAAGGATGTGTTATCTTGACAGCAGTGCGTGGGCTGAGTGTGCACACGATGCTTAGGCAAAAGGCCCAAGGATGACGTGGATGTCATCCATCAAACCACTTTGTGGAAGTTGAGTCTGAGGTGATGTAAACTCGGCGGCTTCCGTCTATGTTGAGCCTAGAAAACGGGCGACTCCAGTCATCCTGCATGACAGGCACAGTTTCCCCTCCACGCCTACAAGATGCTCCTCAAAGACACGTCCAGGCTGGTTCTCCTATGACTCATTAATACACCCAGCAGGTTCTGTGGGAATCACCTGTCAACACCTGATCAGCTCAGCCAAAGCACCCATAAAATCTACCGACTGAGGAAGGTGGAAGGAAGGAGGCATTTGACCAGGGGGGGGGGGGACCTTCCCAGCCTGCAGCCCCAAACCCTCCTCGGCCAGCCACCCTTTGCCTCTACTTACGCCGATGTGATGGCCCGGTAGCGCTCCAGCCCGGCCGTGTCCCAGATCTGGGCTTTCACCAGGGCGTCTCCCACCAGGATGGTCCGCGTGGAGAACTCCACCCCAATCGTGGTACGGCTGTCGTGGTTGAACTCGTTGCGGGTGAAGCGCGAGAGCAGATTGGTCTTTCCCACCCCCGATTCTCCAATCAGAACCACTGGGGGAAGGAAGAAAGGGGGGGGTTCTGTTTAGGGCATCAGACATGCATCACAGGGATCCTATTAAGCCATGCGTGTTTTAATCATGGGACCGGGGGGGGGGGAGGTTAGCTGACGCAGAGGCTGAGTTCAACCAAACCATCCCATTCCCCACAATTTGGCCCGCTGTGATTTGCACCTTCGGCAGCACCGTGGTCGAGCCCAGGAAACGGCTGAGCCCAGGGAATGCCCAGTTCTGATTGGGACAGTGAGAGGGGGGGGGGAGGTGCAGCCGGGGCCGGCCAGGCTTCGTTTCCCAGGAGGGAGGAGGAATTCCCCAGAGGCAAACCGAGGTTTGGCCTTGCAAGGAAGCCCCCAGGACCCTTCGCCCAGCAGGGCTAAGCTCTTCCCCACCCACCACACTGGGGCTGAGGTTGTGCAAGAGGCGAACCACACTTTAGCACGGGGTGTGCAGATCCGGTGGATGTGGTCAGTCTGTGGTCCCCGAATTGCACTATTCTGCTTCCTCAGGAAATGGGGTTGAGTAAACCGAGGCTCAGTTAACACCACGGGGGGGGGGGGGGAAGGCATTTGCGAAAGTGTGTCTTTGTCGCCTCAGCCACTGCTTGCCCCACAGGAGTCAGTCTCTCTCTCTCTCTCTCACACACACACACACACAGACCCCACTCAAATCTTTATGTGTCTTTACAGGAGAATCTCCTGAAGAGGCCTGGGGGACCCTGAAGTCATTCTGCGGCCTCTCAAGATTTCTCTTCTAGCAACCGGGGAGGGAGGCTGTGCTGACATCTGAACAGGCCCTCCAACGCCCATGCTAATTAGGGAGAACCAAATCTTCCCCGTCTCTTTGCCAAAGCAGGAATGCAAAATGGGTGAAGCCACGTTGCCTCTGCAACCTTCCTCAACTGAGCTCCTGACCTTCCCAGCCACCCTGGAAGCATCAGGCTGAGAGAACTGGTGATTGGGATTCCCCCCCCCCCACATTGCTCCCCTGCCAATGGCCTGATCTGCCCCCTCTGTGGGAAAGGCGCGTGTCCTGCAGGGTGAGCCTCGGAGGCAGCCCAGAGGCCGGATCCTCCTCCTCCTCCTCTTTCGCAAAGGGGCCCTGGCTTTCTCCAGAAACACGGCCGGGGCTTCTGGCTCTCATTTCGCAGCGGTGATTTCACGCCCCGAAGGTTTTGCAACTTAATTGTGGCACGAAGGGCAAATGCAACAGGCTGTAAGCGGGCGAAGGGCGCTACCAGGCAGGGCAGCCAAGGACTGGCAGCCGAAGGACATTCCCTGGAATGGGAGCAGCCGGGGGAGATCAGACCCTCTGGTCATCCCGGGGCTCATGGATTGGGGTTTCTGTATCCCATGTGAGGCCTCCTCCAGCGGAGCCGATGCCAGCTTCAATCGGAGGGGTGAGGCCAGGACAGGCCTTCCTGGAGGGACACAGCAGGAAGCAACTGGGGGGGGGGGAGGCTCCTATTCAGTTGCTCCTCCAACACTGTATAGGCAGGAGCACCACCTTGTTGAATCAACCAGTCTCTCTCTCACACACACACTCATTCTCACACTCATGTGTACACAAACACCCACATGGGGAGGGGAGAGAAAGAGGGAGAGCAGCCTCTGGGAGGAAGGCAACCTGCAGGAGAGCCACCCTCTTCTTCCCCAGTCCGGAGGGCCAATAAAGGTTCCCCCCTTGAATCAGGAGGCTGGGGGGGAGCCAGGTAGGAGTAGCCCAAAGCAGGGAGTGACCAGCAAGCGGGGGGCAAAGCTCTTGGGCCTCCTGGCTTGACTGGCCGGAACCCGGCTCTGCATTAGGAGCTCAGGGCATTCGGGGCTGGATTCCTTCCAAGCAAGGTGAGCCCTGGGCTGGGTCAGCAGCCGCACCCCAGGCAGGAGGGCCCTGCACACAGCAGGCGCTTCCTGGAGGAACCGGCTGCAGGGCCCCTCCCTGGGCCTCGGCTCCTCTCTCTGGCAGTTTGTTTGCTTGCCTGTCCACCCGCCCAGCCTCTCCTGCAGCCCTGGGCCCTCTCACTGCCCTCCTGCCGAAGGGGGAGGTGGGTGCTGTTCCCCTGGGACGGAGGCTGCCTGTGGCCTCAGGGTTCATGCGGTGGCTGCCCCTTGCCAGCCAGGTGAGAGGTTTTCCTTGCCCGTAATGTCTGTCTGATTTAGGCCCTAATGTGTCTGAGTCTTATCAGCTCTAAAAACCTCCATTTGTCAATAAAAGTACAGTAATGAACCAGTCAAGGAAGTTTGCCAATAACAAAAGAGAAACGTCCCCCTGAAACTTAAAGAGACCTGAATTAACAAAATGTTAAACGGAAAACACGAATCCGGCTCTGAACTGATTGTCCGTTTGGGTCTAAAGACACTTTGGGTACACCTTGGCACTGCATGGGCCACAATTCTATTTCCTAGCCAAGAGCTAAATTGCCTTGAGCCAGAAACACGGAAGACGAAATCATCAAATGAACCGCCAGATTAAAGGAAAATGTATCCAGATTGAAGTTGATGAAAGCCCCTATCTAGGCTCTTCCCAGAAGCAAATCTTCTTTGACACACGATATTTGCTTTTCAGTTTGCATTATTATATTTATATACACCTTTCCGCTTATGGTATCTAAGCAGCAACGGCCGTGAGCAACAATCACAGTTGAGGAAACTCAACGTGGCGCCCGAATAAGCCATTTCTTCTCAAGCTGGTTTCTGTTTTCATAATGGAAGTGTCTACTTCTTGTTCACACCAGGAAGCAGAGGGAGAAACTCTTGACTTCTTCTGGAGTTCTCTCACTTGGCCCTGCTTGTTTCTCTCTCTCTCTCTCTCTCTCTCTCCTTTCCCCTTGTCACTCCCTTGAACGCAATCATAATTGTGACAGTGTGTGTGTGTGTGAGGCGGGGTGTTATACACCAGTATCCACGTCTCCTTTTTAATGCTTCACAAAAGCTGAGGCTTCTATCGTATTGCTGGTGTATTCTGCATTTAATAGCACATATTATGAGTTCAGGGGAGTCCAGTTAATGCAATCAGAAACCATCTACAGAGAGAGCAAAAGCCCAGATTGACCGGGTCAATAAGGCTGCAGTCCTTGGCTTCTAATCCTTAGATCAGCCGCTCCCCCTCTGGGTGGGGTGTCCGAAGGCTCCTTGCAGGGAGATGCCTCTGTGCACCTGTGAAGGGAGAAGGTGAAGGCCAGGCAGGCCGAGGACCTTCAGGGCCCATGGAAGCACCTGGCTCCGCACTCCCTGGGAAAGGACTTGTGAGAGCCCAAGTGGGGCGAGGAGGCAGGGAGAGGAAGGGCTCACACAGGAGCC